AAACGGCCACACGCCCCGAGCGCGTGGCGGGAAGAAAAATATCGCGCGCCACGGGGCGCGCGACAGACAGGACAGCAGCGGAAGCATAGGGGCCCACAGGCCAAGGTAGAACGAACTCTGATAACATGTCAGAACTAGCAGTAGAAAGTAAGAATGAAGAAAGGAGGGTTTGCACTAGCAGCAGTTGGCATACATATAGGAAACCCTAATTGGGTTGTACTCGCTATAGAGTACCCCACTGCAGGCTAGACAAATAACATATTCTGACACTTCGACCCGCGAGCTGCCTGCGGCTGCCATCGACCGCTGCACTCGTGCCTGACTCCCGTCGACGCCACCGTCGACCTTGATCACCCCTCTCTGCTTCGTGCCTTCGCTGCCGCTGACTCGTGCACCACCGTCGACCTCGTCGTCGACGCCACCTTCGTTTCGCACTGATCAAGGAGATGCAGGACGGGAAGGGTGCTCCGTCGCCCGGATGCCCAACTCAGCGATGGCTCAAGGGATCGTCCCGTACTCGCCATCCGCGTGGCGTTTCCTCGCATCAGCCAAACGTGCCTCCAAGCTGTCCGCTGCGCCCGCTTCTACAACGGGGTCGACCATAGCGATTAGCGCGGCTGCCGGCCTACGAACGACTTAGTAGGTGCAAAAGTCGGCTCCTATCTGAAGGTAATTTGCGGGGCCGTCCACACTTACCGCACCATGCAGAGATTCACGCTACAACGTAGTGAGCTAGACTACGGGGGGTTGGCACGAACTACTAGGAGTTATCCTAGCTTTGCTTAGTTCCTTAGCGCTTGCACATTCACGGGAGAAGTTGGCAAGAGTTTCCACTAGCAAAGTTGGAATTGCTGAATGAATGAACAAGCAATGGCAGAAAAGGGACTACATCAGGCACCTAGCAACCTGCGGCTAGCCTGGTCGACCGCCAGCACTGCATGGTCGACCGCGTGCCAGCGTTGCGTAGAGGAGCATACAGGTATGCTAACTGGTATGCTAGACTAGGCATGCGAGCAACCAAGTCGGCAAGGAAGCAACGCATACACCAGAAGGGAGGCACACCGACATATCAAGATGTGTTGCAGTTCGACCCTGTATAAACAGTCCAAGGCACCTGAGGCCGCTCTCTCAGGCTTCGCTACTGCTCCTCACGAACCGGGGTCTAAGCACTACCGGGTATTTGTGAGAGTGCTCACACTGTGGCTACTGGGCGCAGAGCCCCGGACTACTTAGGCCACAGGGAGTCGTGGCTCTCTGGACTACCAGGAGTGCTCACACTGTGGCTACCAGGCGCAGAGCCCCGGACTACTCAGGCCACAGGGGGTCGTGGCTCTCTGGACTTCAGGCGCTGCGGACGACAAGACGACTGCCTCCACTCAACTTCCTCCAGCTGTCCCACACCCCTTTCACACACTCCCTGTTGAACCTCTAGCACCGCTCACACGCCACCCCCCTCGTACCACTCCGACGGCTCCAACACATCCACCCCCCTCAGCGGCAGCTGCAGCAGTGGGAGACGGAGGAGGAGGAGCAGGGGACGGCTCACACACCCGGCACCCCCATACTCTCCACCCCCAAACCCTAACACCAGAGCGCGGGCAGCAGCGGGGGTGGGGCGCGGTCAGAAGCTCGGGGGACGGCGTGCGGCACTGGGGCAGACAGTACGGGCCGTGCGCGGGACTGGCGCAGGCTGTACGGGCCGCGCGCGGGCTGTACGGGCCGCGCGCGGGCCTGGCGCAGCCCGTACGGGCCGCGCGCGGGCCTGGCGCAGGTCGTACGGGCCGCGCGCGGCCCGCGCGGGGCCTAGGGGCGCTTCGACGGGCGACGGGGGGCGCTTCGACGGTCGACGGGGGGCGACGCGCAGGTCGACGGGGTAGGAAACCGCCGCGCGCCTCAGGACGCACGGCGGGCAGAAAACCGCCGCGCAATTCGTGCGCGCGGCGAGCAGAAAACCGCCATGCGCCCCGAGCGCGTGGCGGGAAGAGAAAACATCGCGCGCCACGGGGCGCGCGACAGGCACGACAGCAGCTGAAGCTAACGGTGGGCCCACAGGCCAGGAGCGTGTCAGAGGTCCACTGGAGATCCCCGATGATCCTAGGGTTACAGACACGTCGGTCTGGGGGGTTATGGGCGCACTCACTCGTCATACAAACAAGCCCTTTTATCCCAGTGGTTAGTGACTGGGATTCTGACATGGTATCAGAGCGAAGGTCTCGGGTTCGAATCCCGGTGTGTGCACTTCGGGCATCCCAGTGCGGGGGGGTGTCAGAGGTCCACTGGAGACCATGTAGAGAATGGTAGGCAGAAACGAGAAACAGCAAAGAGGGGTTTTCACTAGCAGGCAGTTGAGTACATATAGCAAACCCTAATTTGGGCTGTACTCACTATAGAGTACCCCACTGCAGGCTAGACAAACATCACATTCTGACATGGCCACCTTCCCTTGCTCTATCTTGTGCCCTTGCTATAGTGAAACCCCTCTTCCTTGCCGTTCCTCTCGCTCATGCTCCTCTCCTTCTCAACCTATGGCTACTAAGGACGTTCCTAAGTCAAGATAGTTTCTAACAGTAGGAGCCTTGATTCGAGCAGATCCAACCATTAAAGCTCCAAACAAGTGTTTCATTCGATGTAAGTCAAACAAAGATACCGATACCACTTCCCAGTTAAAAATCCAGGTTGAAGTTTTTCCTGTCATTATGGGTTTTGTTCAAATGACCCCACAATGCTATATGGAGGATTGTGGTAATTGAGTTTACCATTTTGGCTTACTACTTCACGTAGAGAAGGATGCGGAACTCCTTGAAGATATTGTCCTACATCGAACCGCCCAAAATGAGTATGCGAACCACATGGCGCCTGTCAACTAAGGACGTGGTGCAGAACGCCTTGGCACGCCCCGATGCACCGCGGTGCACCGGGTTTTGAAGCTTCCTCGCACACGGGAACCCGGTGCATCGCCTCGTCCTGGCACGCCCCGGGGCGTCCCGGGACGAGGCGATGCACCGACGCGTTCCGGCACCTGGGGCGCCCCAGCAAGCTCGAAAAACATGCGAATTCTCGAAATTGTGGTGACATGATCAATTGTCGCGCGAGAATCTCGACAAGGTTGTTTGTTGATTGCGAGTTGTTCTTGGGGGTATCAGTAGCGAGATTGTTTTTGGCGAGCAGTTTTTTGAAGGTCAACCGTGTACACATTTTTGAGCGAGTTTCGCTTCTGAGTCTTTCGCCTTCGCCCTTTGCTGGTTGAAGGTTCGGAGTCAGCACTTGGAAGGATACCTGAAATTCACCATGAGCAGTGACGCGTGCCACGGGGCGAGCTGGGGTGCCCCAGCACGCCCCGGGACGCCTCGGTGCACCGGGTCCGGACCCGTTCCGCACCACGTCCTAATGTCCGCAGCATATGTGACGGGTTACCCATCCCACACCTTTCCGGGCACTTCAGGAATTCGAGTGTTAGTACAGTAAAACATTTCTGCTTCACAAAACTGTTTCATGTTCGTGTTCAGTCAGTGCCGGACTTGGGGTTGCTTCTAGGGGTCAATAGTAAAAGCTGTTCTTCGAGGTGCGTTTTCCACATTTACATGAATATTTCACGGATCCGACAGCGCAAAACAATCGAAGGGCAAGTAACTGCAAGGATAAAAGGGGAAAATATTTTGCTTCGAACACCTGGGAGTATCGGAACCTGACCATCCACGCGTGCCACCCGACATGCCGTAGAGAACAGTAACTAACAACAGTCTGCACAGGCTGGCACAAACAGAAAACTTGGTGGTGGCCCTTAGGAAACAATTGAACACGTTGTTCCTAAGAGAAATTCCTTAGGGGCTGATAACTCCCCCTGTTCTCACTAAGTAACAAGCGCATTTTTGCGAGCAGGTCATGGTGGCCGATGAGACCTATAAGTAACCGACAAATGACAGGGCACGGAGTTGTTTTGTTTGTCTGGCGGCCGTTTGTTGTGCCTTTGTACCTTTTTTGTCCCCTCCACCTCACCCCAGGCAGCCCTTCCTCGAGCCTACGAACAGTAAATCTGTCCCCACACACCGCAGCATTTCTTCACCTACTCAAACCCCAGCCTTCCCTCCGTTCCGACCACGACAAGGCCCCTCCTCCCACCCACTACAATAACGCTCACCCACCCCCACCTCCCTTTTTTCCAAGGCGACATCGTTCCCTGCAGTTCGTAGCTGTCAGTCTGCACCCTCTTCTCTTTGGATACATCGTGTCGTTCAAGTCTTGGTTCTTCTAGTTTTGTCCCCCATCACACTGCTCTGCATCCAGATCCTGTTCTCAGCCTTACCATGGCTCATGCTTTCAGACGACATTCCACGTTGTTACCCCATCTTTTGTTAATTTCATGGCTCGCCATTTGCGTTTCCGTACCTCAAGCCTTCGGCGAAAGCAGCGAGCCGAATTCCCCGCAACCTAGTACGTTCGAATCATCCGTGTGGCGGCATCTCGCGGAGGGCCGTCTTCAATGGGGCTTGCTGCCCAAATCCGAGCCGCAGCAGCCTCAACCAGTCAGCCAGTGGTCCTCGCTCCTAAACTCGTGGCGCGCCGTCCTTCCAGTCGCGCAGCCTGCCGACGACGCAGGCCTTGCGTGGGATCCGGAGACGCTATCGGAGGAGGAGAAGAAGGAGCTACTTGCGAACCTGCTGGCTCGCGCTGACTCGCCTCTCCACGCCCCTGTTCCCGTGCAACCAGCATACGTTGACCAGGAGACAGACGACCCGTACGCACCCACGCGTCGGTCGCTTCTCGACGACGGTACCGCGACCGGCAACGTGACTGACGGCGGCGGAACTAGCGGCAACGCGACAGACAGCGGCGGAGCTGGCGGCGACGTTTCTGGCGGCGACGGGGGAGGCGTCGTCGTGGTTGCGTCGCTCGGGCTGACGCCGCGCGGACTCGCTGCCGGCCCGTCTCCCGCGGACATCAACGGCACTGAAGCATTCCGGTTCGCGAGCGTGAAGGCGCGCGACTGGGTGGACTGGCGTATGACTAACGCCCTCACGAATGTCACTGAACAGGGGCAGGTGCGACGAATGGTAGAGCGATGCGGTCCGGGCAGCAAGGCGGGCTGTACGGTCGTTGCTTGTTATCGTTATCCCGTTGTTTCGAGGAGTTGTCGTACAGCCTTTTTCAGCTGCATTCGAATCACGCACCGACAACCCTGTGTTACTCCCTCCGTTCCGAATCATCTATTTTATTCACCCTATAATTCCTCTCGTTCATCCCCATCCGATATGTCCGCTCCCATCCCCCGCCCGTGTACCCCGTGCCGTGCGCCGTGTGCCAGTGTGCGAGCAGCTGGGCGGTAGCAGCAGCGGACGCCATTGCTTCCATGTGGGCTATCGTCACCAACGCGCCATCCGCGCCGCAGCTCGACGCTTCTCGCCTCTGCACGTGCGCGTCGCCCGGCCAAACTGCGTGCTGCGACGGCGGATGGACGGAGTGGGCGCTCTCGTACGCGCTATACGGCAAGGGCGTGACGGGCGGCGACGGCAGCACAGCCGCAACGTGCGACGCTGTTGCGGCCGATGCCGCGAAAGCCAAGGTTGGTTTGCGGGCAACTCGTGCGCGGGCTATTCATGTGCGGACTAGCGATGCACAGAGTTCGCCGCCGCGGTAGAGCGTACACCGTCCGCGTCGTTACATTAAATTTCCGGCAGTTACAAAAGCCGTCTCTTTTCTGCCCTGCTCGTCCCTACCTGACTTCAACAACATCCGCGCCGCCTCACCAGTGCTCCGCTCAACCACCTCCTCACCATGTCTTCCCATGTGCTCGCTGCTCGCGCCATGCTGTTTCGCGGCTGCTGCCCTGCCGCCCTCCCGCCCTGCCGTCCTGCTGTCCTGCCGCCTGTGTGCGCAGATTACGGGGTGGGAGCGCGTGCCGGCGTTCGACGTGGACGCGATGAAGAAGGCCGTCAGCCAGCAGCCCATCGTCGCGTTCCTCTCCGCCTCCAGCCCCGACTTCAAGGTGCGCCGCCTAGCGCGCGCAATCTTTGCACGGCTTCCGCACGGCTCCCGCGCAGCTCCCGCGCTACTTCTGCACTTTTCCCGCACTGTCTGCAGTTTCTCGGACGCCACGTGCCCCTTCCCTCCGTCCGCCTCCTTTCTCCATTGCCCCGCGCCGCATCTCCCCGCGCCCTTGGTCTCACGCCGCCGCGCGCGCCTGTTCACCTCCTCCCCCTCCCTTTTCCCCCGCCCACCTATTCCTGCCCGCTCCCCGTGCAGGCCTACACGGGCGGGTTTTACAACGGGGCGTGCGACACGGACGTTGACCACGCCGTGCTGATCGTGGGCTATGGCGTTGACCCCGTCAACGGCGCGTACTGGCTCGTCAAGAACAGCTGGGGCGACGCGTGGGGCGAGCAGGGCTTCATGAAGCTCGCCATTAGGCCCGGCGCCGGGAAGTGCGGCATCAACCAGTACGTCTTCCGCCGCCCGTGCGCGCTCCCACGCGCCCTTTTCCGCCCTTGCAATTCCCCCGCCGTGCTCTCGCTCCGCGCATATCATTCCGCCACTCCCCGACTAACCTCACGCTGATATCTACCTCCCTTTCCACTCCTTCCCCCACCCCTTCCCCCCCCCCCCCCACCCCCCCCCCCCCCCCCCCCCCCCCCGTCCCCCCCCCCCTCCCCCGTCCCCCCTCCCCCCCGTTCCCCCCCCCTCCCCCGTCCCCCCCCCCCTCCCCGTTCCAGAATCGCGCCCATCTACCCAATCTACTACCCCGACAGTCCCCCCGCCACCAACTTCCCCGTGGGTCCGCTCGCCGCGTCGGGGCAGGCCGCGCCGGAGCCGCCGTACTGGGAGGCGGGGTGGAAGCCCGCCGCCAACGCCGCCCCGTGCTCGTCGCCCATCAACCCGTGCGGCGGCGGGAAATGCGCCAAGAGCCGCAGCGGGTTTGCGCGCTGCACGTGCCCCGCGGGATTCGTGGAGGTCCTGGACGCGCCGACGAGCATTTGCGTGCCCACCAAGCGGTGCAGCGCGGGCGCGCTGGACCCCTGCGGCGCAGGCACGTGCGCGGACGTGAAGACGGGCGGATACACGTGCCAGTGCGACGCGGTAAGTGCAGGGGGCAGTGCGCAGGGGCTAGTGGTTAGTGGGGGAGGGGGGGGGGGAAGGGGGGGGGGCGTTAGAGCAGCAGTGGGACGTATTGCTGGAATCTTCCATGTTTCCTCTGTTACCCTAATTTTGTTCTCACCTGCTTTTTCTGTGTTGCTTTGCTTGCTCCTCCCCTCGACCCACCCTCTCCCTCTCTCTCTCCCCTAACTCTCGTGCATTCTCGCTCCACCATAATACGCCTGTTCTTCTGAATCCTAACAAATCACGCACCTCCCTGTGCCATGCGACCCCACAGGGTTACATGATCGGAGCCACCGCAAGCGGCGCTACCACATGCGTGCCCATCGCTGCTGGTGGCGGGGCATCTACCTACACCACGGTGTGGGGCGACACGTGTCAGAAGCTGATGAACGTCTTTGGCCTGGACGAGTTCACTCTGATGCAGCTCAACCCCTTCCTTGACTGCACCAACGACCTCCCGGCTGGTACGCTCATCTCCTCGCTTTTCCTCTCCTTGCTTTTCGTCTCCTCGCTTTTCCTCTCCTCGCTTTTCCTCTCCTCGCTTTTCCTCTCCTCGTCCCTCTCCTCTCCTCCCCTCACTGCCTCTTGCTCAGCCCAGCCCTGCTCTGTGCTGCTACCCTCTCCATATCACCCACCTCACAACCGCTCTCCACCCATCCACTGCTCCTTGCCTCCCTTTGCACATCCCATCCGCCCTCAGGTCTCATCCTCGCCGTCTCAGACTCCACAGCGGACGCCACAGCAGGCTGTGCGGCCTCATACATAGTTTCAGCAGGGGAGACGTGCAGCAGCATTGCCACCAGGCTGAAAATCTCTGGGGCTGCTCTCAAGACTCTCAACCCCATGGCAGACTGTGCACGCCTCTACCCTGGCCAGCAGCTTTGCGCCAAGGCTGCTGTCATCACCCCTGCCGTGTCCGGGCCTGTGTGCGGGCTCACCTACCTGGCCACGGGGGGGGATACTTGCAACAGCGTCAGGCAGACATACGGCCTCTCACCCGCTCTCTTCACCTCGTATGTGCTGCCTACTCTTGTTTCAGCCATGCAATCACTATGACTTGCATGCCTTTTTGCCTTGCTCGTGATGGAACCGAGCATTTACCAACACGCTCTCTCGTTCCTGTCTTGCTTTTCTTGCCGTCCTACAGGTTGAACCCTGCGCTGCGCTGCACTGCCCCGCTGCCAGTGGGGTTGTCTGTATGCGTTTCTCCCATGTCAAGCGCCATCGTAAGTCACCTCACGTGCCTGCCATAACTGCTCTGCTGCACGCTTCTTCCCACGCTCAGATGCTCTGTCTCTGAACACAGTCCAGGTGTCCCTAACCTCCCTGCTGCTGTCTCCCATCCCGAATGCATCTGTCTCTCCTGGGTGCAGGCCGTTGGGTGCACGGTGCGTCACACGGTGCAGCTGGGGGACAGCTGTGTGGGCATCGCTGCTGCTGCCAACATCTCCTCCACAGCCTTCCTTGCCCTCAACCCCGGAATCAGGGTACGCAACACAACCACGCTTCCACCACCACCGCTTTCTGCCTCTTCCTGCAAAGTCCCTTGTTCGCAGCCCTTTCTCATCTTCTCTATCCCCCTCCACCCTCCACCCGTCCACCCCTCTCACCCCTGCACCACCTCTCCTCCCACCAGTGCGAGCCACAGCAGCTGCAGATAGGCCAGCCGGTGTGCATCGACTCGCCTGCACTGGATACCATCAATGCAGCGCTGCCCAAGGCGGTGAGGATGCTGCCATACGTGGTGGTGCAGAACGACACTCTGGCCAGCATCGCAGTCTCCTTCTTCCCGCGCTGCGGCACCACTGCGGGCGAGCCGGCCATCTGCGAGGCTAACGGGCTCGTGCCGTGTGACAACAGTGCGCTCAAGCTCGGGCTGGCCCTTGTCGTACCCTGCACTCCCAGGGAGAGCAACTGCGGCTGCCCCGCCAGCATCATGGTCAGCTTTCTCTCCTCTTGCTCTTCAGCTCTTCAGCTCCCCCTGTGCAACCCTCTCTCCTCACTTTCCTTCACATCATCTATCTTCGGGGCTTGCCCATCCTGCATCTCATACATACATGAGCGCTAGTCCTTACCCTTGCAGCAACACTCTCCTTGGCCTCCCTCCCCTCACAGGTCTGTGGAGCGGACTACAGCACCTACCCGTCCTACTGCGAGGCCCTCTGTAACAGCGCTGTGCCCGTCACGCCTGGTCCCTGCACGCCGTGCCAGCAGGCCTGTTACAAGCGGTCAGGCCTGAAAGCCGATCCTAGCTTCCAGGCTGGGTGCACTGTGGATCTCAATTCCACCTTCTGCTCCTACCCCACGTGGCCTCCTCCTGACTGGAACCTCGTGGCTGAGAATCCTTGTGCTTTTGAGGACACCTCGTGTGATAATGTCTGTGGTGACACGGCTTCCATGCTGGCCAATCCGGTCACGGATGCTGGGCAGTGGGGCGTGTTCAAGGCGCAGTGCAAGGGCCAGTGCATGTGCTCGCCGCGCGTGCCATGTGGTGGCGACCAGTGCTTGGACTCCTGAGATGGGGCTCATGTAAATTCTGTTTCTCTAGGTGCTGGTTCAGCAGGTAATCCAACACTGTAGAAACTTGTACCCTAATCTATTTCCCCTTTGGTTAGTGTGCTACATTGATTTCCTTCGTTTAATTCTCTACTGTGTACAACTCTGTACTGGTATAATTTGACTCATACCTAGCCTCCCCCACAATACCGTATAAGGGTAAACATCCTCTTAAGAACTGTACCTGATTTTCAGAATATACCCTATTACCCCGGATATAGGCGCATATGTGCTTATAATAAAATCGTTTTCTTTTTTTTTTGTAGGGGTGGCGCTTGTAATTGGCCATAAGCGCCGTCGCTTATATCATGGCAAAAATGAATTTGTTATTTTAAAGTACCAAATCAGGGCCTCAGATTGGTTTTGGGCTAGGCTGATCAATCAGAGTTGGTACAAAAATATGCGCTGAAAATCAGTCAAATATGTCACTTTTTGCCATTTTACACTAGAAATTTCATAGTTTTTCCTACAAATTTCAGAAAAATTGCTGAAAAATCAGCCTTGCTTGTAAACGAAGCCTGAAATCTCAGCCTTTTTAACCCAAATCAGCCTTTTTTCGCTGAAATCTGAGGCCCTGTACCAAATCGAAGCCCGCAATAAGGCGAACACAATTGTGTAACGTGCGCGTGAGATAATGCACGAAATCCCGCCGAAAACTGCCGCGCTTCGATTCCCGACCGCACAAACCCCGTCTAAGAGCAGCGCATCTGCCAGCGCTGACGTGAAAGTTGCCATGCGGCCCAATCAGGCTATCATGCGGTGGCAGGCAGCTGCATTTCACCCGAACCATCGAGAAGGCGGTGTTGGAAACAATGAATCTTAAACGCCTCTGTCGTGTCGAAACATCACACCAGAAGCGAAGCAAGTCATATCGAGACATCCGCGAGTCAACCCTCGGAGGTTGAGAGGTTGCTGGAGGTTACGCGAAAGTCAAAGGTCAAGCGACCTTTGACCTGACAAGTACAGCGCGACAGCAAGGACACACAACTGACTCGTTACAGAGCAGTTGCCCGAGTCGTCACTGTATCGAACCGCAACAGCAACAGCAAAGTAGTTATAACTGTATCCTTTGATATTCCTTGTAATCTTATATATATCCTTGTATCTTCTTGCTTTAATCAACTTACTTTGCCCTCACATACTAGCGCAAGGTGGTTCACAAGTTCTTCATTAACGCTTCCGCTATTACATAGTTCCTACCAGAGTTTACCCCTGCAAAAGATCCTAAGGGCTTTTCTCAGCCCAACATGGTATGAGAGCTCACAGGGGAAACTCTACTACTATCAAGTCATCAAATACATCACAAGACATGGCAACACAGAAGGAAAGGAGTTCCTCTAACGGTTCTCCTGGCACTACTCCTACTCCACCTCCTGCCTCTGGCCTGCAGACAGAGGAAGGCACGGCAACAAGACCCAGGGCAACATCCACTGAGACTCCTGCGAATCAACCTGCCAGCTTCGACCAGAGCATGATGGAGAAATTCTTCTCCTTCATGTCCTTCTACGAGCAGCACCAGCAGTCGGCACCTGCGTGTCAAACATATATGCTGCATATTGTCTAGGCTGTAGTGGGGTAGCCCATATGGGGTACAACCCAATTAGGGTTTACTACTTGTACTCCTGCATGCTGCTAGTTCATCATTCCTGCTGCTAGATTCTAACATGGTTTCAGAGCACTAAGGTCCGTAGGACCGTTTTTTTTTTCGGGCCCACCTACCGCTGCGGTTACCACGCTACCCCACGTACCTGCCTGCCTTGCCTTGTGACGTGCTGCACTACGCGCGCCGTCCAGCAGCCCTAGCGCTGCCTCCTGCTGCCCTAGGCCAGCGTGTCAGAGGTCCACTGGGGATCCCCGATGATCCTAGGGAAGGGTTACAGGCATGTCGGCCTGGGGGGTTATGGGCGCACTCACCCGCTATACAAACAAGCCCTTTTATCGCAGTGTTAGTGGCTGGGATTCTGACATGGTATCAGAGCGAAGGTCTCGGGTTCGATTCCCGGTGTGTGCACCTCGGGCATCCCAGTGCGGGGGGGTGTCAGAGGTCCACTGGGGATCCCCGATGATCCTAGGGAAGGGTTACAGGCATGTCGGCCTGGGGGGTTATGGGCGCACTCACCCGCTATACAAACAAGCCCTTTTATCCCAGTGGTTAGTGGCTGGGATTTTGACACAGCGCGCTGCCTCTAGAGGCCCGTAAGGCCCGCGCGCCGCCCCTACACGCCCTTCAGGCCCGCGAACAGCCCCTGCAGACCGTTAGGCCCCTTGCTGCCGAGCACTGCCCGCACCGAGCCCGCGCAGCCCGCGCCGAGCCGCGCGCAGCCCGCTGCTGCCGCGCGCTGCCCGCACCGAGCCCGCGCAGCCCGCACCGAGCCGCGCGCAGCCCGCTGCAGCCGCGCGCAGCCCGCTGCTTCCGCGCGCAGCCCGCGCCGAGCCCACGCAGCCCGCGTCGAGCCGCGCGCGGCCTGCTACGGCCTCGCGAGGCTCGCACGCGGCCCGCATCAGCCCGCGCCGAGCCGCGCGCGGCCTGCTACTGCCTCGCGCGGCCCGCAGCAGCCCGCGCCGAGCCGCGCGCGGCCCGCTACTGCCTAGCGCGGCCGCGCGCGGCCTGCAGCAGCCCAGCGCGCTGTCAGCGCAGCCCGCGCCGAGCCGCGCGCGTCCCTCTGCCTCGGCCCCGACCTGCCGCTGATGCGGCCCCGCCCTGCAGCTGCCACGGCCCCGACCTGCCGCTGATGCGGCCCCGCCCTGCAGCTGCCACGGCCCCGACCTGCCGCTGACGCGGCCCCACCCTGCAACTGCCGCTGAAGCGGCCCCGCCCTGCAGCTGCTTCGGCCCTACTCTGCAGCCGGTGTTGCGGCCCCGACGTCGCCGCTGTCGTGCGCCTACTCGGCCGCCGCCCGTCGAGCGCCGGCCCTGCTCGCCCGGCGAGCGCCTGCTCTTCCAGCCTTTGGTGAGCGCCTGCCTGCCTGCCGGCCTGCCTGTCTGCCTGCCTGCCTGCCGGCCTGCCTGCCTGCCTGCCTGCCGGCCTGCCTGTCTGTCTGCCTGCCTGCCTGCCTGTCTGCCTGCCGGCCTGCCTGCCTGTCGGCCTGCCGCGCCTGCCCTGCCCGCGCTACTGCTGCTGCTACTGCTACTGGCAGGTGGCCAGATACAGCTCTAGCGACGTTCACGTGAGTCTCTCACGCCCCAGCAGCTTAGTGAGTGGTATACTAGCTGGGGTTGTCGCGGTAGCCGTCGTAGCTGTCGCCCTAGAGCTGGTCAGTTGGGAGCGTCTGGCAGTGGCCAGCTGCAGCTGCAGCGGCGTCCACGCGAGACACTTACGTCCCGGCAGCTCCACGAGTGGTACGCTCAGTGTAGCAGGTCTACGCGTACAGTTCACTGCCAGTACGTCATTCGCACAGGTGATCGGGTTGGTCAGCCTTGCAGGACACTTGGTCACACACAATCCCGCTGCTTCGCCCGTCTGAGCGACGACTGGCGTACAGTGTTTGGCGACGAGGCTGAGCTCCCCACCTGGCTGGAGCTGCTTGGACAGAGGGTAGATATCTTTGCTCTTGACTATGATGCTATTCTCACTGCCATGTATGCATTGCCTACTAGTGCTGACCGTGCCTGTTACCTGTGCGTACCGCCTGACCCTGGTATAGAGCCTGCTGCTCTAGGTACTGGTGAGGCTGCTGCTCTAGGTGCTAGTACGTCTCCTGCTCTAGGTACTGGTGAGGCTGCTGCTCCAGGTGCTGGTGAGTCTGCTCTCTCTGGTACTGCGCCTGCTGCGGTCTTGCACACCTTCACCCTTGACTCAAGAGCTTCCCGCTCCTTCTTTCGCGACTGCACCACACTCACGCCGCTTAGTCGGCCAGTTGCAGTCTCCCTGGCGGACCCCTCTGGGGGTCCTGTCCTTGCCCACTACTCCACGGTTCTGCCGTGTCTGGCCGCCCCGTCTGTCTCGCTGTCAGGTCTTTACCTCCCCTCGTTCTCTACGAACTTGGTGAGTGGAGCTGACCTCCAGGATGGGGGGGTTCACCAGTTCACTCCTGCGAGTCAGCGAGTGACTCACTGTACGTGTGCTCGGACGGGCCGACACCTGGCCACGTTTACCCGTGCGCCTGGCTCGAGTCTGTACACACTCACCACTGAGTCCCCTCAGGTAGCTGCGTCTGCGTCTGTGTCTGGTCAGCTGGCGGCCCCCTGCGAGTGTCGCGCTTTGTCGCACGACACTCTCCTGTGGCACCACCGCCTTGGTCACCCCTCCCTGCCTCGCCTTCGTAGCATGCACTCTCGCTCCCTGGTCTTCCCAGGTCTCTGCCTGCCCTACCTCCCTCGCCTGCGCCGCCCTGCATTCCTTGCGTCGAGGGGCGGCAGCGCGCCGCTCCTCACTCCTCCTCGTTCCCTCCCACAGAGGCTCCTCTGCAGACTCTCCACCTGGACGTGTGGGGCCCAGCCCGCGTCCGTGGACAGGGCCACGAGCGGTACTTCCTGCTGGTCGTCGACGACTACACGCGTTACACCACGGTCTTCCCCTTGCGCAGCAAGGGGGACGTCCCTGATGTTTTGATCCCTTGGATCCGCGCTGTTCGTCTCCAGCTCCGCGAGCGGTTCCACCGGGACTTTTCTGTCCTGCGTCTGCACTCTGACAGAGGCGGTGAGTTCACCTCAGACCTCTTGGCAGCCTACTGTGCGGAGCACGGCATCACCCAGTCGTTCACACTTCCGGCCTCTCCGCAGCAGAATGGGGTTGCTGAGCGCCGCATTGGCTTAGTCATGGAGGTCGCTCGTACCTCCATGATCCATGCGGCTGCCCCCCATTTTCTGTGGCCGTTTGCGGTCCGGTACGCCGCGCATCAGCTCAACCTCTGGCCCCGTGTCTCCTTGCCGGAGACCTCGCCCACACTGCTGTGGACGGGGAAGGTGGGCGATGCGTCGCGTTTCCGGGTCTGGGGTGCTCGTGCCTTTGTCCGCGATAC